TTCAGAGAACAAAAATCAACTAGTGTACAAAAAGAATTATGTAAATGTGAGGCCTAAATGAAATTTGGAATTTGGTTTTAAAATGGTTATGAATATCCAATGGGACAGTTAAACTCTCGCCTTTTGAAAATAAAAACCGATGCAAAACTTAACGAGTGCCTGCCCGACAGTCTCATAAAGAATATAAAAAATTTTGTCAGAAAGGTAAACAAGACTGGAATTAGAAGGGAACGTTTCAAAGTTCGGAGGAATACTATCCAGTCGGTATCAGATTGAGTGTCAATACTGATGTCTTTCAAGCTCCGAAAAAGGTTTCAAATTGTCGCCTGGAGACAAGAGAAGACCAATTGGTATTAACTATTTTATGTTGCTTCTTGTGTTTGTTCTGTGAGGTGTTCATTATCTGAACATGTGTTTGTTGTCCGGCAAAGAAAATAAAAATCTTTCGCGAAAGTGTTCATTGTCTGATCTGTTCACAGTTCGAACTGTTCATTAACCGATCATCCACTGTACATTTAAATTTTTTTGGAGAACATATTCCAGAATGTAGTTTTAATGTTCAGTGTAAGCTACTAACATATTAAAGCAATATGCTACATCAAAGTAATAGAAATAGTAATTGCAATTTTATACAAATTTGAAAAAAGTGGCATAACATGCAAATGTGGGAGAGTTTCCAGTTCTGGTAATTACAAAATATCTGAAGCATGTAGAAGGGCACGAATAAATATTATCAAACTTTTTAAATGTTAAGTAGCCAGTATATTGAGTTGAAGTGATGGATGGCTCCACAAAAGCTAGTAAATTGAATTAATATTTCAATGCATTTCGAAAATTTATATTTTCAACTGATGGAAAGATACTTTTCTATAAAGTGTGTGACAAAAAATTGGATCAGATAAGCTGTTTCAAGTCAAGCAACATTTAAAAACAAATTTGCATATAGAAAATGAGCAAAGGAAGCTGAAGCTGGTTCATGGCAGAGTTTGTTAACAAGCAGCAGAGGAGATACTTTGAATGTTGCTACAGATGTCTCATCTGTGGCAATTTAACAAGGATCTATGTTCAGCATTCCTGTCAGCAAATATTCTCTTTAACAAATTGAATTTTTAAAGAAATAAACAAGAAAGTATATTTCAAATTAATCTATCTTATGAAAATTACATCTACCAAAAAGCTATCACAACACCATCAATAGAATTCACTGTGACTTAGAAGGAAATAAAAAGGGTTAGTATCAATGAAATAATGGATATTGTAGGTTGCGCAGCAGCAGATGTGATAATAGGAACTCTGGATATGAAAAATATATATTTTATATATAGTAATTAATCGTTAGAAGATTACTTTATAAAAATATATTTGTTTACAATAGAAGTTTTGGAAGTTGTCAATCATACAACAATTGCAAAATTGGATCAGATAAGCTTGCATGACCATAGAATAGATTGTCACTACGAATACATTAGTGCTATATTTAGATCCCTTATGATTAAAGTCAAGGAACATCATGATTCAATTACTAGAAAATCAGGCGATATGGCCTTGGCTGCCTATGCATCAGATGCAGATGTAGAGATTTACTTTGATTAGAGCTCACCTTCTACATTGAAATGCATTACCATCACATCTAAAATACCTGGAGATTCTTGAGATATACAGGGCTATTTCTAGAGGAACAGCTATCAACATCAGGGACATGGCTTCTATGTCACATGCCTGGAGGGCACATTTAGTGACTGTAATGTTTTGTAAACAGTTCTGGCTTAGTATATATATTATGCTCATATCTTATCATTATATATCAGCACTCCAGTTGTTTTGGAGTATGTTTATTCTGACTTTTTGTTATTTATAAGCATTTAACCTTATGTTCAACATAACAGGAATTTTTGGGTAAAATCTAACATACCTAAGAGATTCCTAAATTCTGAGAAATAGTTGAAATATTTTCATTGCTTTTCTGTTCATATATATTTGGTTGAATGTGGATTTAGTAAATTATTTCCTTAATTAAAACCAGAAACAGACTGGATGTTACAATAAGAGATCTTTGGCTGTCACTATCCAATTTGGAACTTAGAAATAAGAAAACTTATAAAAGAACATCAAGACCAAGGTTCACATTGAAAAAGTAGAAATAAAATATTTTAAATTTATTTATAAACATCGTTATTCATGAGTAATGCACTTGCTTTGTGGCTTGATTGGTTTATTATTATTTACTGATTATACTTCATTACTTCTCTTATTTCATTTCTTTTGAATTTGTTTTTAATTTAATTTTATTTTTGTTCATTTGCTTATTTACTCAATATTTAATATTATCTTTATTTTTTTTTCTAAATTTCTCTTGTATAAATAAAAATATATAAACTTTGATAATTTTTTTCATTTCATCTGTAAATCACAAAAAAATGAAAAATTATGCTTACATTTGATAGGTATTGATTATGGATATGTATTTTAGGAGAACATATGTTGATTTACAGAAATCATAATATGGAAACAAAAAAAATGAGGGCCCATGAAAATTGAGAAAAGTTTAAAGGGAGCCATGGTTGAAAAAAGGTTGAAAAAGACTGTCTTAATGATTGGATGATTTAATTTAAATTGATACTTACCATTGTGCTAATATTTTTATTGAAATGACATGGCTTAAACCATTATTATCTGTTTTTCAGTTGGCACTTATTAACAGTGTATGTAAATTTAAACTTATCATTAGTAATATAATGATGATTATATGCTAACTTCTGATTACAGTAAGCAGGGCCATCAAGAGTTAGGGATTTTTTCCCTCACATCCAGAGAAAACTTATAATGCATAATTATTCCTATCCCTATAAATGAATGTTATTTTTACTAACAAAATAAAATTTTTTAATTTTTATTTGTAACTTTTAAATTTTTGTACATTTCATGAGTTTTATTTCTGTAACATTTTTTTTTTTCTTTTTAAAAGTTACCTGTTGTGTTCTAATATGAAAAATCTTGTTCTATTTGGTTCCAATTGAATCAGCCTTATGAGGATAGTTGTAAGCTATTGAAAATACTTGCAATTTTGAATAAAAAGTTCTTTTTAACATTGTAAGACAGTAAGTACATTACATCATAACCATTTTGGTGTAAAGTTCAGTTAATTTTATAAACTAAAATTAATTAATAAGTGTAGTCCCTTTCTGGGGGTATCTCCTGCATTTCACCACTTGTGTCTACATCTATGTAACAATGTTGTGGACAGCATTTTATTACTTCATTACGAATCACAGCCTGTATGATTATGTATGGAACAGAAACATGGTCATTTTGACAAATATTGTTTTGTGCCATACACAATGACATACCATTTCACATAGCATTTGAACAAATTTCTTAGTTTAGTGGGCATGGGCTCATCTGCTTAAAGTGTGTTCACACTTGTATTATCTTAAAGTGTGCTTCATGGTTTGTTGTCCTTAAGATGGTTCATTAAAAGCCAACAAGCAATGGATCAGTGGTGAACCATTTCAAAAACCTTAGTGACATCAGAGGTCATGCTACAGGGCCTTTTTCTCTGTTCAAACTGGTTTATCAAGTGTAACAATACATTGTTCATAATGTTGTTATATAGATGTGGACATAGCTGTAGAATCTCTTATGGGACATTCCAATTTTTAACGCTGACTCAGCGCTGATCTCAACATTTGTTAAAATTTGTTCCTTTTTTCAATGTTGAGGTAGCGCTGTTGTCAGCGCTGACTCAACACACTCAGCACTCAACAGATATGTTGACTGCTACTTTCCAATGAATTGTGGGTAATTGGTAAGACATTTGAATGGAATTCATCTTGCTGAGAATGGAATTATGGGAACTAAGCACTTCGATGACGTCAAATTGTTGACTTCAACACTCAACACTCGTGTTGAAAATTGGAATGTCCCATTAGTGGTCTAAAAGATTCTAAAATATGAGTCATAAAATGGCAAAATCTGTATGGATTTTTGGAAGGGACCTGAAACATTGTTATTAACTAGAGAACCTCAGGGACCTCAGACTGTTTTCTCCAAATCTTGGAAATGGCTAATTTGTAGAAAAATCTCATCTAACTTTTCCTTTAAGAAAAACATTTAAGAAACTTAATTTTAAAAAAATGTTAAAGTTTAAAATTTGAGTTTTATCTTATTTTTACATATTACATATTACTTTTTGTGAATTTATACTCTTGAGAAATGAATCTTATGTTTTATTCTTATGCAGTTGTATTTGATTATAGAAGCTGTCTTTCTGTTGATGCATTCCATACTTAGAAGCACTTGAAGAATGGCTGATTTTTAAAAATAAAATATCTGAATAGAGGCTAATTACAAATATACATAAAAACTATTTTTCTGATATTTTAAAGAAATGATGCATTTACAATTTATTAAATATAAACTAATGCCAATTAAACCGTTGTTAAATAAGACTATAGTTTGAGAAAGGCTATCAAGATAATAATATATTTCAAATCAGAAATTATATATCTATTCTAAAAGCCAAATACTGATCAAATATCAATATAATTTACTTACATTTTATCAAGCTTACTTAGTGATTATTAGTTGTTGCAGATTTAATAGATGACAGTTAATTTGCAGAAATATTGTCCAGTTCATAGACATAATCTAAATCATAGTTTCATGCATACCTTAGTAGTGTACTCATATATAGAATGAATTTAATTATAACAGTATTATAAAATAGGGAATATTAAAAGTTAATTCTTTAACCTATTTCTTTTGTCTAAGTAATCAGAACATCAAGAAAAAGATCTAATGTTTATCATCATTTGTAACAAACCAAGAGTCACTGAATGAAATTGGTAACATAATTAAACTTTTCCATTTCAAGCAAAGATGAAACATTTATAACAGTTTAAATAAGATGAAACTGTATAAATTCATAATAAGTTTAATTGTCTATTCATACTAGACTGTTAATTATTATGATAATAAAAGTTTCAATTATTTAATTTCAGGTTTGTTTTGTATTGAGAATTCACCATGTTTTATGCACATTTTGTTTTGGCTAAGAAAGGCCCTCTAGCCCGAATTTGGTTGGCAGCTCACTGGGACAAAAAGTTAACAAAAGCACATGTATTTGAAACAAATATTGAAAGCAGTGTTGAAGGTATTTTACAACCCAAGGTAAGAAATCATGATTCATTATATAAATTACTACAGTTAAATAATTAATTATTCAGTTAATAAATTAGTTTATCATCCATTATTGATTCACTATCAAGTTAGTTCATTAAGTACATAATAATCAAATTATTCATTTATGTATATATATTTTCATAGAATTTCTTTATTTTATCCTAAAATGAATATTTTATTGTAAGAATAATTATTAGTACTTATGTTGGTATTGGCAATACAGATTAATCAGATTTAATGTCATAAGAGATGAAATTTTAACATCTATTTATTGCATTCATTTAATATTTGCTAGAAAGTACTGTACATTATTTTAATTAAAATATTTTAAATATAATTTTGAAAAACTGATTTGGAGTCATTGATATTGCATCAGTAATAGCAAGGCATGCAATACATTGTAATGTTTGTAGTTTACTTTGATAATTCTTGCAAAAAATTTCAAGTTATCTGTTGACAGTATAAATGACAATAGGTTGAACAATTGTAGTATGTATTTAAAGATGGATATGATATTGCAGATCTCATGTTTTGCATTTCTGCATAATTTAGAAAATGCATCTTTATAAAGCATTGCATCAAGACTCTTTACATTAAATAACAAAAGTTACACTTTTTTTACTAAATATGTTGAGTTAAGAATGGAAATATGAACTTCTGCAAGTAAAAGAACAGATTTTTTAAAATCAGGGCTGACGCTCAAATTATTGTAATTGCACCAATTCTGGATAAAAATTAAACCTCTCTGAAGAAGTTTTAAGTGTTGAGAAATTTGTTGACATATGCTAACAGTATTTTTTGGACATAAACACTAGACCCATTGAAATATTTCAGGCCTGACCAGAATGAGCCATTAAAATGAGTGAAAGAATCTCATTCTTAAACATGTGTGCGATGGCCTCAAAAAAATCCCAATGAGTGAAATAATCATAAATCAATTAAGAAGCATGAAATCAGATTAGATTGGTTCATGGAATTAATACAGTATTAATTCCATGAACCAGTGAATATACTTAATGATCTTATTAAGTGCTTGAAAGCACTTTTGATAAGACTCCTTTTCAAAGAAATCTCAAGAAACAGTGGCGTACCGTAGTGGGGGGCAGGGGCGGCCTGCCCCAGGCGGCACTTTTTAGGGGGTGGCAAAATTTCACAATAAATAAATAATAATAATATCTTGTAAAAATTTGAAACATCCTAATCCATACTTGTATCGTGCCGACGATAGTGCTATCGTCCAGACAGTCCGGGAATTGGCTTGCCAGGTGAATTAACTTTTTCATCTGAGGAATTCCTGCGAAACCTGTTGAACTTTTTATTTTTTATTTTTTTGCTGTTCATTTGCATTCATATACACCACCAATATCCAATAGAACTATTTTAAACAGGTCGCTACACTATCACCGAGTTTTTCATTGCTTGTTCTGTGACAAAACTGAATTTTGGTCTTTTAAATTGAAATACCTAAATAAGGGGGGACAAAATTTTCCTCCGCCCCGGGTGGCTGACACCCACGGTACGCCACTGTCAAGAAAAGTAATTAATGTAATCTCTATGGTATGCAGAAGTTTTTTGCATATTGGAAAATCAAATTGTAGTACAGTCTTAAAAGATTTCACAAGAATAAATTACAAAGTGAAAAAAAAAAGAATATATGGAAAAAAATCCCCTCAGTTGCTTATCATTATATTTCTAATGTTTTTAACAGGGACATTAGGCTAATTTGATAAAATCTTAGCCTTAGGGCATCTCCACACATGGTATTTGCTGAATGTTGAGGAAACATTTGGCCAATACCAAGTAGTCTGGATGGTTTATTCATGATAAATGTTTAGTATTTGCTATTTCCCACTCCTTGTTGGTAAATTGTGTTGTATCAAATTATTTGCGAATATTTGCCTTCATATATTTATTTTATTTTTATTTTATTTAGCCATACTGGGTAAAACCCATGATGCGGGGAATACAAAAAAATTGTTACATACATTACACACCGAAATATATACAGTCCTTCCATTATTACAGAGAAAATTAACATTTACATAAATAAAACAAAACAAATTATACAAATATTATTATAAATACCAAAATAAATATTTAAACAACATATCCAAATATAAACATATAACAAAACAAAATCATGGTGAGAACTATCTGAACAAATTATAAATAAACAATAGTTACACCCATCTATAAGAGAAAAAAAGAATAAGTAATCTCATCAAAATGTGGATAGTCTCCCAACACTTCTTATCCACGATCACACTTTTAAAGGGGAAGCAAATGCCACCTTTCGACAACAATCGAATACTCCAATATACAAAACAAACAACAATGCATGTCACTCCGTACAAAGGATCACTAAAATAAAATAAATCAACATAAGATTACCTTAAAAAATAATTTAATATTATGAACAAAATTAATTAAATCAAAATTATTTAAATTACTGATAAGTTCCAGAAAATTCTCAAATGTAATAATAGAAATACCAAACACACTTTCTCGAATTTTTTCTAAATTAGAACATTTAGCTATCACATGAAAAATATCGAATAACTGATTGTCCTGACAATATTCGCAAATTTCTCTGCGATAATTCTGTAAAAAATTAAAAGAATTACATCTGATTTGCATTACTGTAGCACTAATATTAAGAGGAAAATTATTATTATAAATCGAACAGTCATATTTTTATTTGTTTAAGTGCTTGTACCAATCATTATAAGAGCTTACATTAATATGTCAATTCAAATCAAGAATAAAATTATCAAAATAATTTAATTTCAAAATAAAACAACTGTCATAATTCTGTAGTAATTCATCAAAATTAATGCCATTATTAACACAAATTTCTCTTAATCTTTTAGACCACAGAAAGTCCCTCTTATTTAATACATAATACAAACATATTCTGCTCCATCGTTTTTCATCCAATGCAATAGTCCTGAAGATCCAGTTCAAACACTTATTCAATAATTTAAAAGACAAAGGTAATAGCAAACACTCCATAAAAATCAGATAATGTGGAGTACAATGAGACAAACCAAATAACTTTTTAATAAAATTAACCAAGACAGGATCCAACTCGTCACATTGGTACAGTAATACCCCAAACTTACGCGATAGGTGGGACCGAGCAGTAACCGCGTAAGTCAGGGTATAATTTCGCATATAAATACATACAAATAATTTTTAATTGGGGCCGGAGACTAAAGAAAACAATAATTTAGAAAAAAATGTTTAATAAAATCTTAGATAGTACATATGTATAACAAATTAGGCCTATATTATTTTACAATTTTTCACATTTACTTGATTATTACGCCATAATTTTAACATTGTTTCCATCTCAGCGATAATACTGTGA